CTCTAAAAATGGTATTTAATTAACAACAAATACTGTGAAAAAAATATTTTTTTTTATTTTACACATGAAAAGGAACAATTTTATTTTCAGAATGTCACATTAGAATTATAGGAAAATGCGTCTCAACATAAGTGATTAAAGATTGATTTTTTGGTTTCTCCCACTATCCCAATATAAACATAATGATAATCTTCATGAACATTGTTGATTAAAAAAAAATTGACAGCATGTTAGCTAATGCTTCTTATGTTTTCATGCAATCAGAAGCTTTCAGAAGTATGTATGGCAATAAAGGTATGTGCTTTCAAGCTTTTAATTCATGTTCTTCGTTTTTCAGTTACATTGAGCATAACATGAACCAAAAATTTGATTTGAAGACAGGCTTTTGAGTGTTACTTCAGTAAAGCTATCTTAATTAATTTCGTTGCTTTTTAATGCAATTATTTTTCGATGTGCTTACATAGGCGAAATTGTTAATAATTTTATGGAAAAAGTCTTGGAATTCATTTTAAAATATTTTGTCTGCTCTACACCTATTTCAATTTTAATTCAGGAAGCGCAAAATGTAATTCAGATTAGCTTATTGAAATTCGGAAAATATCAATTGCAATTCAGATTAGTCAGATTTTTCAATTGGAATTCAGAAAGCGTGATATTCGGATATCGTCATTTGTTATTCAGAATGCAACAATTGTTATTCAGACTACGTTATTTGTAACTCAGATAAGTAACATGAAATTCAGAAAATATCAATTGTAATTCGAATAAGACAAGTGAAATTCAGAATTGTAATTCAGATTAGTCAAATGAAAATCAATTGAAATTCAGATATCATCAATTGCAATTGAGACTGTGTCAATTGTAATTCAGACTCATGTATTCATGAAGGTATTCATGTAGAACCAGCGACTTCAGAATTATGGAATATTTTCATTGATGGTCAATTGAAATCAATGTTCATAGGTAAAATGGGGAAGTTATAATAAAAAACGTAATTTCCGAAAAAATATTGTTTTGTTATTTATTACCTACATTCATTACGCTAAGCAAAGTTAACACTGTTCCATATTTCTGAATTTCAATGGACTATTTCTGAATATCAATTGGCCAATCTGAATTAAAATTGATATTTTCTGAATTGCAACTGACGCTTTCTGAATTTCAATTAACTAATCTGATTTACAAATGGCGTAATCAGAATTACAATAGACCCATTCTGAATTACAAATGATACATTCTGAATCACAAAAAATACCTTCTGAATTTCAATTGCCGCTTTCTGAATTACAATTGGAAAAGGTGTAGTTCAGGCTCCAACGAAAAATAGAAGAGACGCATTGTTTCGTGTAGAATCCATTTCAAGTTTTTGTTCAACATAATAAACAGGTGATATCAAACTCCCAAGGGTTGATGACATTTCACAAATCATTAAGTGAATATAATCCAGAACACTCGAATGTACCAGGTGACACGTTTTAAATTATGACCAACCATAACTTCATGTCGTTAGAAAAAATAAAAAATAGTATTGCAGGTGATTTTTGTTCCTTCTTGAATTTGCTCAAATATTTTCACTGTCTGAGGGAATGTACAGGAACTAGCAAAAATGTTTGAATTTGAAATAAAACACCCGATATATTTTCTCACTATTAAAATCAATTTGACAACACTTTTTGCTGCTCCCCGTATACTTTCTCCCCCCCCTCCTCCCCCGTGTCTTCTCAGATACTGGCAGTATTCCTATTGATTCGAGAACCAAGAAAAATCCTAAGGCTTTTCTATTATTTTCTATGTGGCAAAATTGGAGAGTTCATGGTGTGATATTTCATAAACGTGTTCGTAACGTATCACTCGGTACCCATATTAATATTCATTTTTTCCGTCAATTCATTTTGTATATTCATCATTATGATTGCTTCGTTTCTTCTAAACTATTCATAACTTGTTGAGTACTAATATTCCGTTGATTTCTTGTTTCGTCACCTGAACCAACATTTCTTGTTTTGTCACCTGTACCACTATCACTTGTTTTGTCTGCAGTACCAAACATTTTTATTAATTATTATTCTGCATTCATTAATTGGGACCACTACAGTCATAAAACCTGTAAACCTTGAAATGAAAGTCAAGTATAAACGAATACTGATACAAGTGATTCTTTCCTGAATGCCTATTGATTCCGATTTAGCCAGTCCACGCTGACACCTACAGATCGATTTCGAGCTCTCATCAGTGCCGGGTAATCTCCAGTAGTAGGCTGTCTTGTGGCAGAAATAAGAGATGCAGAAGAGAAACTTGGCTAATGCTAACTATTCAAAAAAAAAGTAATCTTAAAATCACTTCTCTTCTCCTGACCTTGCATGGGTTTCTGGGTCGTTGATGGATGGGTGCCAATTATTGTAGAAATTGATTTCTTTTTAACATAAACTCTGAATGCAGTGAAGAAAGTTCCTTATTCAATGATTCACTGTGATCTTGAAACGTTCAAAGGCTATACGTCAATAGGTGGCCATTTTAGATTGCAGTCTTCATTATTATGCAAAATATTGTACAGGGTGAAAATCTAAGAACGGCTGTAATCAATAATTCCTCCAACTTTGATCGTTAATATCTTCCGTTAGCTAAAAGCTATAATGTTGCGGTTTTCGTTGGTCTTTTGAGATTTAGTTTCTCTATTCCTTCGTGTAATAATATGCATATCATTACATACAATTTTTTTTAAATCACCATATTCATTGATACTCTAGATCACGTCCTCTAGCGGCAACAATGATATGAATATGAAACCAATTCAAATCACAGTTGATAGAACAGGAAGAAGCATTCATAACAAGCACAAGATTGCTGAATTTTGTTGAAGATAACCCAGAGCTACAGACGTTGAGAAAAAGCATAATCTGAGGTTCCCCCGCCACAAAAAGTGTGAAACAAAAAAAAAACTAGGAATTTATCAACCTTGTTACCAGGGTTGGCCAATATATATCAAGTGATATATATCATGATATGTATCATGATATACAGGATGTTTCATAATTGAATGCTGATCCTTGAGGGCGATAATCCTTGGATGATTTCAAAGAGAAAAGTTCATATCAACATATGTCCTAAACCTCTTAGTTATTGAGCTACAGGGTGATGAAATTTCAAGGAAAAAATGAGTTTTTCATTATAATTTTTTATCACTCTTAGATATTGTTATGATATTTTGTATACACCTTTTCATTATTAAGAAGCATTTTTTTACGTGAAAGATATTTGAAAATTCTCACCAGTGGCGTCCGTACGGGGTTTGAACTGACAATTTTTGAAGAAAAAAATAGTACGCCACTGATTTCTCTGAGAACCAGATTTTTTTTTCAATTCTTATTCATTTTGGAGCAAATTTGGTTCCTAGACTTACTTTCATACAACGTACCGTTTTCGCGTAAAAAAATAAAAACCAAAGAATTTTGTTCCTTCAGTTCTTGGATATTGTTTTTGGTAATTCAGTAGACACCCACTATAAGTGGAAACACATAATGTTTTGGGACGAAGACCAAACTTTTACTTTTACCAGTGATGTCCTCGTAGACCTGATATTGAATGTTTTGTTCAAAAAAACGCTGTACGCTTCTGATTTCAACACCCTGTAGCTCAAAAACTAAGAGGTTCAGGACATATGTTGATATGAACTTCTCTCCTTAAAATCATCCAAGGATCATCGCCCTTTAGGATCAGCATTCAATTATAAAACACCCTGTATATCTGATATTTATTGATTGATATATATCATTTACTTCTTTTTATGCGTTTCGTGGTTATAACTTACAACTCGGGGAATCCCCGGTTTTCGTTTACTGCTTGTTAGGTACATGGTACATCAGGCGTGTTCGTTTGTCCTTGACCTACCTGCTGAACTCGATTTTTTTCTATGACTTACTTTGTTTACATCATGCCATGAACAGAGACAACTATGGAAAAAGAATCAAGTTTAGCAATACAAACGAACAGGCCTCACGCATACAATGATTTGGTGGAAATCGGTTGCAATTCCTGACTCCGAATGAATGAATAAGAACTCTTCTTACAACTATGTGAGCAGTTATTCAGTGCAGTAGCGGCAACAGCTGGTTTAGAAAGAATTTTTTCGAGTTTTGGAACAGTTCAATCTAAATTGAGAAATCGTCTAGGCAACGAAAAAGCCAGTAAGCTAGTATTTATTTTTAAATGTTCAAACCCGAATACAGATAAAAAAGCCAAAAGCTTGGACTGGACCTCGTCGAATGATAAATTAGTTGCCTTGAGTGAAGATGATAATATTGATAATGATGATTATATTCCTCTTTCTCGGTTTTGCAATCCTTAAATAGTTTTTTATATTACCATATATTTTCGGAAAAATATTATTTTTTGTTTCGTGTTTTGTTATTTCAAATTAATCCGAGAATTAAGCTGAAGTTTGATTTTTGTTTTTACCAAAATAAAGGTATTTTATATTGTGTTTTTTTCTTTGGCATATCAGCCTAGGAACAATATCGAAATTTTTGATATATATCGGATATATATCCGATATTATGATATTTTGATATTTTGATATTTTGATATTTTGATATTTTGATATTTTGATATTTTGATATTTTGATATTTTGATATTTTGATATTTTGATATATATATAAATATCATGATATTTGCCAACCCTGCTTGTTACTACTAAATACGGAAAAAATTTCAATTTCCTCTCAACTCATAGCTGTTACGCGATCTAGCGGATATTTTAGAAACCTTAAAATATTTGCCACCTATTTTTTTGTTGTCACTTTTTTTTGAGTAATTTTTTGTTTCAAAGTAATATGTGTTGCTGAGATATGGCCGACAGTCGTTCTTAGTTGTTCACTCTGTACAATACAGTGCTTAGTATCATACGGGCTTGATATACGTGACGAAACAGGAACAACTCGATATTCGTGTTCGTATTCGTATTGAATCATGAACAATTTGAAAAAACGGATATTTTCAATAGAACGCTGCGATTTCCGATGCCAAGGAGGATTTAAGCGAGCTGCCACCGAACCAGAGGCGGAAAAAGTTGTTGCTCAAAGTGGAAGAACTGAAGAATAAAGTTGCTCAAGAGACGGCGGCTCGCGATGGACTGATGAAGATGAAGGGAGTGTACGAGGCGAATCCAGCTTTAGGAGATCCAAGGACAATAGAAAGTAAGATTTTTGAGCCGGTTAATAAATTTTTCCTATGAGCGTGCGGTAAATTAACTTTTCCGCATGATTTTTCGTTTTGAAATGTTTACTTTTCCGTACGATTTTACTTTTCCGCATTATTTACACTTATCTGTAGACTTTTACTTCAATAAGATCTCAATAGTATTGCCACTTTCTGTGAGCTGAATGACTTGTCATTAAATGAGAACAAATGTAAATATATATCATTCAGCCGTAAGAAAAATCCTATTGAGACAGAATACTGGGTGAATGAGACTAAATTGGAAAAAGTAGAAAAATTCAAGGATCTAGGAGTAGTTTTTGATTGAAAATTTAGCTTTAATACACATATTGCAAAAATTGTAAATGATAGCCTGAGAAATTTAAGTTTTGTTCTAAGGAATTCATACCAGTTTAACTCTAATATCGCAATACTTTTATACAATGCCTTCGTAAGACCAAAATTAGAATATGCTTCAGTCATCTGGAATCCACATACCGTTGTTCATTCAGAAATGATTGAGAAGGTACAAAAAAGTTCATGAGGAGTCTTTATTACAGGAAATATCAAGTATCCACTTTAATGATTTCATACAAAACTCAACTATCAGAATTGAATCAAAACACACTACAGCTCCGGAGAAATATCGCGGATGTGATGTTTGTATCAGACATAGTTGATGATAAGCTAAATGTACCTGATTTACTCTTTGCAATAAAACTACATGTACCTGAAGTAAGATTACGTAAGCGAAATCATATTTTTTATATAGATGTGTCATCCTGCTCACCTTTTGTAGATAAGATGCCAGAAATCTGTAAATGAGCATATTAACTGCTGGGATACTGACATTTTCATTTCTATTAGTAGCAGAATAACCCTTTGTGGCCCAAATTATTTTTTTTTCGAAAAAATCGATTTTGAGGTCAAAATTATACTCTATATATATCAATTGAACGACTTCCTGATGAAAAAAAAATATAGCACACAAAGATTTGACAGAATCAGGTGGTTCCATTAAGGCATCACTGGGGAAATAATATATAGTAATATTTCAGTAATTGTTGAAAATTTATTTTGCCAGAAGAAACATAATGTTATGAAGAGTTATGAGTAATTTTTTATGAAATGATTCGAAATAGTTTTTGATACTCGTAAGACATAGTCCAACGTTACACGAAGAGCAGTGCCATCTAGATTTATGCAGTTCTTTCTTCGAACTACAGTTGGCGCATCTGACCTTATTGCTATGGATTGGCATGTGCGCGGCCTTACTTATACGTCGTTCTAAGGCAACATATAACTCATATTTTGTTGACAATGAGACCAAGGCCCTTTCTGCCTCTCTGGGGAGTTGCGGGATCCGCTCCAATCAGCCCATTCGCAACAGCAAGCCTGACTTCTTTGCTTAGAAAATGTACAGGTTTATTATCTTTCCATTTGAGAGCATTATTCCAGTGTCAGTAATTCTCCAATCCTAATCACCCCTCTTCATACATTTATCATCTGACAAATTCTTTGGAAACCATTTCCTATCTTTTCGTGCAGTACCGCAACTATAAATTTTGTATTTCTGCAGATTTCTTTGTAACAAAACAGAATTGAAAAAATTGTCCATGTGAACTGATTGAACGGATTCATCACCCCATGGAATTTTCTCCAATAAGGTGAGAAGATCATCTACTGGTGATTTGTTCAGCTCAGAAATATCAAATGATCTGCCTGAAGTACAAGAAATATTATAGAAGTGTACTACAAAAAATATTATAGGAGTGTACTGGTGGTCCCGCATGGGACCACCTCACAAAACTACCAGAAATCAAGTGAAAAATTGCAAAATTCAGCAAACTGATGTAGGAGTATGTTCATGTACATTGAAACTAACGAAAATAACCATTTACATACCTGCCATATCATCAAACTCAGCCAGAGAACGCAAATCAAATGACTCCGTGCTAATGCACTGTGGACATAAACATCCAGAATTATAAACATTCAACTACAAATGGCAAATTAGGATTGGAACTGCACTCAGTGTGACCACCTACCCCCACTACTCAGCATGTGGAAATGTGTTCCCAGTTGAAGCTTACTTGTCCGCAAGGAAAAAATCATTTGATAGGTGGTTCCACAGTGGAACCACTGGCACACAAAGGGATAAAAGGCACTGTTGCTAATAATTATTAATTATTATCTACTTAATTGTATATTTTCTACTTTTTAAAATAATTAACGTGACCATGTTAGTGGACTGTGTTGTGAATCTTTCTTTGTTTTTAATTTTTTTAGGTAATTTCGGAAGTAATTTCAAGTGTGTACTGTATGTGTACTGTATGTGATAAAACTGTTATTCTGTAATTGGGCTGAAGCCTGTTTTAGCAGTATAAATAAATGAAATGAAAAATTTCGTAAGAAATACCAGGAGACATGTGGCATATTGTGTGTTGATTTAGGTTCCTAATGGACTGGAGTACTTGAATGCCAATAATTCATTATCAGTCGACTCGCCCATTTGACACAAAATACAATTACTTTGAACAATATCAAGTATAATTCATTTTATGACAATGAGTCAATATTCAAGATAAGCAAGTAGAACGGAATCCCTGTGATTGGTGATTGTCAAATATCGAATTGAATGAAATCTGAGATATGTTTCAATCTGTCATCATCCTCAATCTGTCATAGTCAATTTGTCTGTCAGTCTGTCATTGTCAATCATTTACTTGTATACGTGCATCAATCAGCGAGGGTCTTGTGAACGGCATGACGTCAATTATGTGTCATATATTGCCATATAGGAGATAAACCATCCTGTTGAGTTATCAATCCTTGGAACGAACCCGATGGAAAACCGAACACGAATATTGAATAACTAGCTTCAACCGGCGGCTTCGCTTGCGATGAAGCCCTTAAATTAATATCAAAGATCATTATATTCCAATAGTACTGAATTAGTTGGATTCAGTATCTAAAAATTACTATATACAATGGAATTTGAATAACTGAAAACATGCTTCATTGAAATGATTCACAACAAAAGTTAGAATTTATTTCACATCAACAAAAAGTACTTATTTGTTGCGCCCTGTCTGTAGATGGACGAATTCAGGTAGTACTGAATCGTGCATTCTGGTTGTGAAGAAGACTATAACGTCAATGTCATTCGTGATCAAGTCACTGAATATCTGAAGGGTAACTCCCATGAAGTAATGAATTTGTGCCTTTGAAGTGCCCACCTGATGTTTAGTTTAAATATTTGTCATTTTTATTTCATCATCCAAACAATCCAAGACTTACGATTCCCAAAAGACGTATTCTAATGATTTATATCTAAGGTACCGATCACAGAACTCAAAGACGTAGAGGCTAATGCAACTGTGAGAAATCGCTGAAATCTGATACAACTACTGTGCTTACGGCAATAGTGTTCATGCGCACATTGTCGGCAGCATTGTCAGTTATATAATTTTATAGGCAAATCTCATATTCATGCATAAGGATGTAGATGATCAACAGCTTCACAAAAATCATATATTAAATTTTCGCGTTGAAGTTCATAGACTCACTGATATTAGTTGATCGGCAACAAGAGATTGATGAATTATTATGAGCTTCTAATTTCTCACAAGTTCATCTGGCAACTGTGTAAGAATGTGCCTCTGTCATTTTGTCTGACGTAGACTTTGGACAGAGCCGGATTAGTTTCAGTTATTTAGTGTTTTGCTTTGCTTTGTGTTAACGTCTTTCGTTAGTGAATTTGAGATTATTGAAGAGTTTTGGTAATTTGACAAGTTCAGTACTTTTTTAATTTGACAATCATTGACTGATTTGTGTACAGTGTTTTCAAAATGAATGATTTGGTGTCAAGATAAAGAAAAAATTCCAAGAATGCCATACTTCAGGTAAATCTATATCATTAACAAGCCTTGTGCTATTATACAGGGTGATTCAAAAGTAAGCGGCATCCTTTCAGAGGCGTATTCCTTGCTTGAAAATAAGGCAAAAAGTTCCTATTGATAAGGATCCGAAAATGCTTCCTAAGGGAGCTACGGCCCTTTGAATAGGACACCTCAAAGACGGTTTTTTCTCTATAACTTTAAAATCCTCCACAACAAATTTTTAAAAATTGGTGTACAGCATAAACATTCGATGGTAAATAGGACTCCGTATTCGAAATTTCAGAATTTCATTCAGGGGCGTCACATGCGGGAGAGGGTAAGTGTAAAAATATCCCTTCTTCTCCGGATATTCAGGTTACTGTGATTTCGTTTGGAAATTATTTCGAATACGGAGTCCTATTTACCATCGAATGTTTATGCCGTACACCAATTTTTAAAAATTTGTTGTGAAGGATTTTAAAGTTATAGAGAAAAAACCGTCTTTGAGGTGTCCTATTCAAAGGGCCGTAGCTCCCTTAGGAAGCATTTTCGGATCCTTATCAATAGGAACTTTTTGCCGTATTTTCATGCAAGGAATACGCCTCTGAAAGGATGCCGCTTACTTTTGAATCACCCTGTATATTTTTTCTATAGCTATAAAAAAAAATCGCTCTTGTTTTACTGTGTTCGATTAATCAATGTTATTTCCGTATGTGATATCACAATGACTTTCATCAAAATCTCATCTTCTATGAAATGTCAAATTCCTGTTTCAAATTTTGTATATGTAGATATTAAATATGAACCAGAGAAGCAAATAAACTCCATGAAGGGACTAATATCCAGTTTTTTATTTTAGTTTTGTAGTAATAAAATGATTTGACTTTTTTACTATAACGCGGAATTTCATCATTGCTTGGACGATTGCCTTGTTTCGAGATGCCACTGTTGAGAAGTTGAGACCTATTTTTTGCAGCAACTCAAAAAAACAATTTTTAAAATTGGACTTCAGAGGGATGTATATTCCTCGAAGAGCTTGATCAAAAATATCATAATATGCGACATATTTTTATAAGAATCATTGTGAATTATTGCTAATATAGCCTGAACTAACCTGTATATTAGCTCGTCCATTTACATCCAATGAACACTTTGGTTGATGGAAAATACATCGAAACATTGCTCTTGATGACCTGATAACATATAGGAATCCATCATAACAAATATCAAAAGAATTTTTCACAATGTTTTTCATTCTCAAGAAAGCCACAAAAACCTGGTAATCAAATAATTCTGAAGCCGCCCCTGGCATGGTCATCGGTCACGTCTCTACTGCGCATGCTCACATTTGCCGTTCGAGCCACATTAGGGAATACTTGAGTAGAACGATATTGGTCTTCTAGGTCTTTGAGTTCTGTGGTACCGACGTATAGAGTTTCATGTCTGTTCGTTGGATATTTTGTGTCCAACAATCAATCTGCCAAAATATGATTTCACCTGTCGTAGAAATATCCTATCTCCTTTCTAATACATCTAAGAATATGTACACACAATTTCATGATAATCGTTCTAGTTGTTTTGGCGTGAAAGCCCAACAAACAAACTGAATGTATGGATATTATGTTGTGTCTTCTTGGGATAACGAGCCCCCGTTTGTCTCTTAGGCCAGCTGAACGAGTGCAGCCACCGGCTGGAGAAGCTGCAGCAGGACCTGCACCGCTACCACGGCTACCTGGACGAGGCGGCCAGAGGCGTGCAAGCGGGGCAGAACAATTCGTCGGTGACGAACTCGCCGCGCTCGGTGAACGGGTCGCGGCGCCGCAGGAATTCGGGGGGCAGCGCAGCGGAGGAGGAATCTCTCAGCAGGTCAGACACTTTGTAGCAACCATCTATACTCGAAAGTGGGCCCAGGGTGTTTTCGAAGAAAATAACAAATTTCAAAGTCGGTCGACCACACTTAATGTAAAAATCAAGAAAATTATAATACTGTGACTTGGTTTCAGCACAACGGTCATCATCAGACTGTAGTGCCTGTAAAAGGGGATGAATAGAAATTTGGGGGTGAATAGAGAGAAATATGGAGCATCTAACCAAACCGATTTTTTAAATGCCTCGACACGTGTTTTGCTAACATAGTTTAACAAAAAACACTAAAAACAAGCTCCTGTAGTTAGCTGAACAAAAAAATAGAAAAGTAGTAGTTTGAAAACCTAAAGAAACGCCGTTTTATAGATAGCCACACTAAAAAAAAGTAGAGAATAATAGTTAAGGTCCCTTGTTGATAACATTCTTCACTTCCAAGGTTCATATTAATTTTTTTTACGTCGGCGGGAGTAGAAGTTAGTTTCACTGGTAACAAAAGAGGGCTAGAGGTCTCGTATTATTCCCTAGGGAGATAATGTGACATATATTCTCCATAGGAAGTTTATACCGACTTTACATTTTCCGTATAGCTCTGCGTTTTCTTTTCGGGACACCCTTATCTGAAGCGAGTATAAGCTGCATCATACAGATTTCTAGATCTCACTGGTAGCAAGTTAAGAATCACTGCAGAAGCAGTATCAATAGTTTCTTGGGGTTTTCCCTCAATTTCTTGTTCCATAACCAATTTTCAAAGCTGTTTTCATAAATTTAAGTTTGATATTTGAACCCTATGCTGGAACAACGTTGTAACCGCCAATATCTATAAAAACGGTATTTCCATGGAACAAGGCTGTATGCGACCTATACAATCCGCTGTCATGATAGTGAGGGCATAGGAAATTTTTATGGTGATTTCTGGTGTCATTTCGGTTAGTCAAGTTTGGAGAGTTTATGGAACAACGTTGTATGTGCTATCACGGCTTCTAGTTTCCCGCGCTCTTTCTTTGTTTACATGTGTTTGGTCTGTAGTTTATCGTCGTTATAAGCAGAAATGGACGTTTCTTTGATAGACTCAGTTATGACACAACTAAATAATAATAAAAATTCTTTGCCTTTTTTCACTTGTGCTTCATTTTTGATCTTGAAACAACGTTGTAACCGCCTTAGTTCCCTGGAATAACGTTGTAACCGACGTGGATATATAACGTTGTTTGATTGAAAAAAGAAAAATATGCTCGTAAATCATAAATCTGCATGTGGTCAAATCTATTTTGCGTATCATGCAGTCAAGTTCTTCCTTGCTAGTGATATCAGACAAATATTCACTTCATTTGATGGAACAATCGAACATAATATATAGTTTTTTTCGATTTCCCAAAAAAAAAACATTTTTGGCGTTTACAACGTTTTTCCAGCATAGGGTTCATTTGCTGTCACCATGGGTTGCCAACAAGATGCATGTTGTCAAGATACCAATTCCACAAACTATACTACTACTAGTTATGATAAATTACTTTGACCGAATTTTCATTCTTTCTTAATTTTTGTGTTTTCGCCAGCGTAAAAAATAGTATATATACCTCACACCTCAGGACAAAATGCTATTTTCCCTCGGTGTTTTGAATCTCTCGGGCTTCGACCTCGAGCTACAAATCGCATCTTGGAAAAAATCTTGCATTTCTGTTCCTTTATGTATAATGTACTATTTCACCACTGGAAATATATTTGAATCATTTTAGCTCTGTGAAACTGACATATGGACCTATTGTCACTATGAAAGCACTATTTTCACTAATTGGCCATATGACAAGTCGTCGAGTGCCATTCCTGCGAATCTCTGAATATCTTAATCGACTAATGGTTCATAAAATGAGAAAAAAAAACACACTTTATGCCTCGAAAAGGAGTAAATAATGGTAGGTTTTATAGCTAGTGGTGGAAAAACTATTAAAAGGGTGTTGATGAATACACAACATTAGAGAATGTACTGATTACAGTGATGCTAATGTTTTCTGTTGTGTTATTATCAACACACTTTTATTATTTTATTTTCTACTTTTTCAAGTTCGGCTATATATAAAAGGGTGTTTCTTTAGTTTTCCAAACTACTATTTATCAATTTTGAAGAGGATAAAGACCTACTTGAGGAGTTGCATAGCTCCTGTTGCTGGAATGTATGCAATCTATGGAAAACAATAAAGATAACGGGTGTATGTCGTTTATTCGTCAGATTCCAATCAACCTCTTGAGGAATAGTCTTGATTCTATACTTCCTGGGTGCGAATCGATTGAAGATTAACAAATATCTATTACCATAGGTCGGCGAGCGACAGCAGCGTTACCAATCCAACCATGAACCACAACAAACCATCCGCACCTGGCACACCGCAACTTAATAATCACGGGTAAAGATATAGATTCTTATCTTTCATTTTGTTTTCAAATTTACTAGCTGATTTATTCACTCAATTGCCATTAATACAGGGTGTCCTAGGACGATTATGACAGGGAATATCTCGGAGTAGTAGAAAATTGTTTGATGTTTGATGTGGTCTTAAATTATCAATTCATGAACTACCGTTGCCACAAAGTCTTTCTTTTTACTATGTTTTTTTGATAAAACGTGGATGATTTTTGTTTTAATCATCACAAAGAATATAGGACTGCCCAAATATTCAGGATGACCCTAAACTTGAATAGTTTGGCAATTGTTCGTTTCAGACATGACATCAGGACAAACAATGTTGAAGTATACCTGTAGTTCTTAAATTGAACGTTTCATGAGGAGAAACAAAGAAATGCCAAAATATACAGGCGTTGTCCCATTTAAAATTTTTGAATCTGATGTCACACGATCGAAAACGAACGTAATATCAGAAAAAGCAGCACCAACTGATTGAATTCACAATCCCAAAATTTCAATTTTCTACTACTCTCCGAGTTCCGAGATATTCCATGTCTCAATCGTCGTTGGACACCCTGTATATCAAGAGATAAAAAGTGTCCATTTCCTTCCGCATACGTTGAGCACACCTGGGAGGAAATGAACCTTTCCTCCAGTGATATACAGTGTCTTTCAGAAATCATAAATGTGGGAAATTTTTAATAACAATTTATTTTGAAATTTGACTTGAGCGTCAAGTTTGCTTTATAATAACTGAAAAATTGCATACTCAGTCGGGGTCTCGTAACTTGCTACATGTCAACAATTACATTTTTTCAAATTCTATAAACGGTTCTCGTTATCAACAAACTTAATGTAACATACCGGGTGATAATGAAATGATTGGCCAGATCGTCATTCAGTTATTTTTTGTATCAGATATTTGAGTCGAAGATATAATTTCATTCAAAATTCTCGGCATAGATCTATTTCCGGTCAAACCGGAAGTGTCTCCGGAGTCCCTTGATGGAAAATCAATATCATCAGATGAAGTAAGTACATGGATGTTGAATCTGAGACATACCTGAATGATATTTTCATCGTCCGTAGCTGGATTGCTACATATTAATCGAAATACATTCGAATCTTAAAATAAATATCATTGGATGAAGTACATGGATGTTGAATCTGAGACATTCCTGAATAATATTTTCAACGTTTGTAACTGGATTGCTACATATCTGCTTTCTTTCCGAATAGTGGTTCTTCCAGTAGGCATCTTTCACATTTTCAATTACGTGGGTTATATTGAGGACCTTGAAGGCCAACCAATGTGCTGCTCAGATCTGAAAACTAAGTATCACTTTCAAATTTGAATCGTGAGACCTACATAGAATATGAATCTATGAAAAGTCTGGATATGTTTTCAACATCCACAACTGGAACGCGATATATTTTTGTAATTCATCAACTATCTCAATGAAGACGAGACAGGCAGATAAACAACAATTTTCTCTGCAATGAAGAACACTTTATATACCTAACCCACCATACGCCTACCTCCTTTGCAGAGAGGGTTTATAAACGCCGAGTTGATACTCTCCCCTCGTAAGGGTACCTGTCGTGTTTCCATAGAGACATAAAGGTGAATATCTGTCTTATCTGTCTGCTTTGAGAATCTGGAAAGGTAATCAATATATCGCCTTCCGTACGGATATAATGATCTAAATTCTGTAGAGTATACTCTGGTCAGTTCTCTTTGCGGATCGTCTGTTCGATCCGTATTTACTGGATGGTTTTCTCCGATTGAGTGGCAAGTGTCAAACTCTGCTTCTTGGATCTGCAACGAAACATCACCTTTAAATCGAAGTACATTTGTACCAGAAAATATCATTAGAGGAAATACATAGATGTTGAATCTGAGACATACCTGAATAATATTTTCAGCGTCCGTAACTAGATTGCTACATATCCGCTTTCTTTCCGTTCAGTGTTTTTTCCAGTAGGCATCTTCCACATTTTCAATTACGTACGTGGGTTATATTAAGGACCCTTGAAGGCCAAACAATGTGCTGCTCAGATCTAAAAACTAAGTATCAATTTCAAATTTGAATCGTGAGACCTACATAGAATATGAATCTATGAAAAGTCTGGATATGATTTCAACATCCATAACTGGAACGCGATATATTTTTGTAATTCATCAACTATCTCAATGAAGACGAGACAGTCAGATAAACAACAATTTTCTCTGCAATGAAGAACACTGTATATACCTAACCCACCATGCGCCTACCTCCTTTGCAGAGAGGGTTTATAAACGCCGAGTTGATACTCTCCCCTCGTAAGGGTACCTGTCGTATTTCCATAGAGACATAAAGGTGAATATCTGTCTTATCTGTCTGCTTTGAGAATCTGGAAAGGTAATCAATATATCGCCTTCCGTACGAATATAATGATCTGAATTCTGTAAAGTATACTCAGGTCAGGTCTCCTTGCGGATCTTCTTTTCGGTCCGTATTTACTGGGTGGTTTTCTCCGATTGAGTGGCAAGTATCAAACTCTGTTTCTTGGATCTGCAACGAACATCACCTTTAAATCGAAGTAGTACATTTGTATCAGAAAATATCATTAGAGGAAATACATAGATGTTGAATCTGAGACATACCTGAATAATTTTTTCAACGTGCGTAACTAGATTGCTACATATCCGCTTTCTTTCCGTTTAGTGGTTTTTCCAGTAGGCATCTTCCACATGTTCAATTACGTGGGTTATATTAAGGACCTTGAAGGCCAAACAATGTCTGCTCAGATCTAAAGACTAAGTATCAATTTCAAATTTGAATCGTGAGACCTACATAGAATATGAATCTATGAAAAGTCTGGATATGATTTCAACATCCATAACTGGAACGCGATATATTTCTGTGATTCTTGGAAAAATAAATTTTATTCGCTAATAGTTCATTTTATCGAGATGCAACAAGAGCCCTTTTTTATGTAAATAGCCCTGAGATTTCATAATTTCATGTCAAAAAGATGAAATTGCGATGAACAAAAAAGTTGGGGTTATTTTTACCCCCTACCTCCCTATTTTGACACACCCCTGTATTTAATTTTGAGGTGATTTTAACTCCATTCGAACCGGCACTGAATAGTAAGTGGATGGACAAAATTTCAAATTTTCATTATACAAGGTGTTGGAGATGATAATACAAAATCATTCTCAGAGGCCCCCCTTTTAGAGGGTGTATCTTTTTTTGGGGGTCACTTTAGAAAAAAATGTTACGGAGGTTTTCGTAACTATTTCATCCACTCTATATGCTCCCAAAGTTTGACCACCTATTTTAGAATCACCTTGTATATCTCCATATCCTATTGATTAACTGAGATTACAACATTTTGGTATCCTGAATTGTTTTGATATTTTGCTTTGTTTCTGTAGAAAAAAAATAAATACCAATTTATTGTATAAATTCGTGCAAAATATTCCTTCACTAACAGAGGTGAAAATAAATGTGTGATCTATGTCCATATACATAGAATAAGAATGAAGATCAATTTACTTCAAGTATTTTATAATACATAATATGTTTGACACACTTTGTATTATTGAAAACTACTCCTTCCTGGACCGAGAATTCATAGTTCTCAATATACAGAGTGTAGAGTGTGTCAAACATGTTTCATGAAATATTTGAAGAAAATGAATCATGCTTATTCTATGTCTATGGATATGGATAACGCATTTATTTTCGCCCCAGTTATTGAAGGAATTTTTTGACACTTTAAGCAATACATTGGAATTGATTTTTTTCCATGAAAATGAAGCAAATTATCAAAACAATTCAGGAGACCAAAATGTTATATTTTTAGTTGACCAATAGATAATGAAGATTGAGAATTCAAAAAATCAGTGTCGCACATTTTATTGACAATAATATTCGGTAGGTTGCCCCTGGGACGCCACTGGATTTCATAATTTCAATTGAATTATGGCTGTATCAGCCCCTCATGCCAAAAATATCTTTGCCAAATTCCAAGAAATTCGGTGGAAGGGCATTAGAGATGTTCATAAAAAAACGATTTTTTTTTAAGTTCAACAAACTGTATGTTGAAAACTATGCATTTTCGGACCCACGTACATATAGAATGAATTTCTTATTTTATCATGTAGAATCACCCGCTTGATTTTTTGCGCATAATTTCCGGACACCCTGTATGTATATAAAATTACTGACGATACTAAAATAAATAATTTTGGCACATGAATCTACGTACAAAAATTCGAGTGTGTAAAATACTCAATTAATTTGTGTGTGTGAAAATGTAGTGAGCACTCGAAAATATCTAAAATAATTGACAAATTGTTCTATGGAACGAAATCCATCGATAGTTTACCTAATTCGGCTCTAATTAAGTTGAAATTTGAGGACTGGTTATTTTATTGTAATAAAATTGGATTTTTTTAATAACGAGTTCAATAAAAATTTTATTTTTCAAATTGGATGCGCACTGTTAGAAAAACAGAATTTTTTTGGTTTGCCTGAAAACGGATCTGGATTCTAAATTCGATTCATATTTGGTTTTGATGAGAAATATGAGTTGAATATACCTACCGAGTATGAATCGATTATACACAGTGATTCAAAAGTTATGACCTGACCATAGATGAAGATTTTGTCAAAATCAAGATTACGTTCTGTATCACAGTTATTGAAGGTGGTACATTCTTGAAAGATACAGTTTCGAACAGGAAGCACGAAAATCAGAAGAAAGTATTCCTTGATCGGAGAAAATACAACAAACGGTACGAAACATACAGGGTATGTCACCACGAGCTTACACGATCTCTATATCGAGAATCAGTCGGGAGAAATCCATGAAAATCTGCATGTGACCAGAATTCTGAATCTTGAACCACCCTGTATCTGTTCCGTTTACATATTACTAAATAGTGAAACAAAAGTTGAGATAGAGACATGTGAGCCGTTTTGAACAAAAATATCGATTTTGAGCACC